CAGGGTTGATCCGAGTGGAACAGGAATGCGCTCGGGAGCTTTGGGAAGGAGGGAACGGTCCCCATTTCCACAGGGACCCTCGGATATGAGCGGGGTTAGTGAAACGAAGCTATTTCAGCAGCACAGACACGGTGTGAACACCCATCCTGCTCAAATCCCCTMCTCGGGGCTCCCACCGCCTTTCCTGGGGTTGGCAGGATCATCCCCTGCCCCTCTCCCTGGAGCAGCATCCCATATCCTGGGATCCCATGGTGTGTTCAGAGCAGAGGTACATCCACAGCACATTTAAAATCGGTAAAACATTCTCCCATAGCTGGGGATGAGAGCTTTGGGTGCCACACGGGGGTGGTAGAGGAGCAGCCATGCGCTGCTGTGATCCTGCCAGGTGTGAAATGCAATTTCAGAATGGCTCAAGAACCTCTTTTCCACGTGGCTTTACCACTTAAAGAATACAAAATATAGCAAAATATACATCTTTTTTTTAGCAACTACAATATCTAAACTCAGATTTTAACACCTCAAAACACAGCCTTGAATTCATCATTATCCCCCTGAAAGGCACCAAACTTAGAGATTTTAACACCCAGAAATACAGCCTTGAATTCATCATTATCCTCCTGAACTGCACCAAATTTGGAGATTTTAACACTTCAAAACACAGCCTTGAATTCATAATTTCCCCTTCAAATGCACCAAACTTAGAGATTTTAACACCCCGAAACACAGCCTTGAATTAATCATTTCCCCTCAAAATGCACCAAACTCAGAGATTTTAACACCTCAAAACACAGCCTTGAATTCATCATTATCTCCCTGAAATGCACCAAACTTAGAGATTTTAACACCAGATCTGCCACTGCCTCTTTTGCAAGTGCTGGGATATCACAGGGCCTCTTTCCCTATCAGAAAAGATGAACTAATGCAGGGAAAATGTGAGGATTCATCACTTAATGCCCATAAAATGCTTTGAAGAAGAACAGAGCCTGGTAAGACATCAGCAGATGTTATCGGTGTGATGTGCAAAACCAAACCATCACTGCTCAGATACACACAGACATTCAATTATAAAAAAAAATTAAAAAGAATTAAATTGTGATTGTGATTAAAATTGTGATTAAATTGTGATTAAAAAAATTAAAAATAACTAAATTGCACCTCCACACCCAGAGCAGCACCACCCCAGGAGAGCACCCAGGAGTGTTTTATCAACACAGAAAGACTGGAGGTAAGATTGGAGCCACCAAACCTTATCTAAATTGATAAGATCATCCCCATTTCCTTCACACAGCACTGATTCTTCCAYCACCTTCCTCACCCAGTGCTGCTTCCCACCCCACAGTGACACAACCACGTCTGCTCAGCTTCCTGGCATTTGGCTCCAGGGAAAAATGCTGCAAGAACCAGAACATTTTGGTTTTGCAGATCTTTCTCCTTCCCTCTCGTATGGTTTCATCAAGAAAAGATGAGTCAAAGGCATGAAGAGGTTTAGAGCAGAACTGATTGAAGTTTTGGGTTGGAATTTTTCCTCTGAATCTGCCATAAATTGGTGCTTGAGAGAGGATATTTCCTTGTTTTGGAGACCCCAGCCACAGCCTGAGCAAAAACCCCCTGAAAGGTCCTTTTCTATCTCCCCTCTGGAGCCTGAGCAGATATTTGATGTCACTGCTCTCCCTTCTCAACCCTGGAATTGCTGTRGGTGCTCCAAGGAAATGATGAGGCTGTGAAGATGGAAGAAATGAGATTTTGCCAGGTGTGAAATGCAATTTCACAGAATGGCTCAAGAACCTTTTTTCCACATGGCAGCTGTGCTTTACCACTGTAAGAATACAAACTATAACAAAATATACATCTTTTTTAGCAACTACAGTATCCAGGATACTGCAGTTGGATAATCAAATTTGGATAATCAAATAGGTAATCTGAAATGACAAATATTTCACAGAATTGTTTATTCTTCCTGGGAAGAATTATTAATTTGCTCCTCCTGATTGGKAGATTTATGACTTTGTGGGAAATACTGACAGATCCAGAAATGAAAGGGATCTAAATTAGGCATCTCCTGCATCCTTCTGCAGCAGAGCAGGATCATCTGCACCTAAAACCTTCTAAAAACCTAAAATCTGCACCAAAGATCCAAACCTTCCCCCTCAGCCTCTCCCAATGTGTTTTCTCCATGAGCAGAACAAATTTGGGACACCCAACCAGCTCTGCCTGGCCAGTTTAACTCACCCAGGGGACTTGGTGACGAAACTTCCATTTCTCTGAAGGCTGTTGTGCATTCCCAAGACGTAATTTCTCCTCAATTAAACATATCTATATATTTTTTTTTCCTGAAATGCCACAATTTTGGGCTCTGTGACCACCCTTTGCTGCCTTCTCCTGACCTTTCTTGAAGAAGTGTGTGCTGTAAATCTGCTGACAACGGTGAGGCCTCCTCAGCTCTCAGCAGTCTCTCACAACAGCACTTTTTTAATCTTTTCCAGGGTGATTTTTTTTTGCCTTTTCAGCCAGACTAACATTTCCCAGCCATGCTCCTCTCCCCACAAACCCACCCAGGCATTTCCAGTCAGTGCTGATGGAGCCAATTAGCGCTGCCTGGTGAGAATTGCTCTGCTCTGGTGCTCACTGAAGCCCATCCTTTTATCCCACACCACTTCCCCAATTTGTCAAGTTCCTTTCAAATCCTCCTCCCACCTTCCCAAAGGCTGGGAATCCATCCCACTCCAGCTGCTGGTGCCACCTTGGGCTCTGCATCCCCGTTGGAGGAATTTTCCAGTGAAACAGAAAGTTTGAGCCTGATTAAAACACTCAGTTCTGCCTCTGCCTCACATTAATTTTGTCTCTTTTCTTTTTCTCTGGCTGAGTAATGAAAATATTACAAGACATAACTGCAAAGGCCTTTAGCTATTACACCCTTMCTATAATTAATGATTATATTGGAACAATTATTTCTATTAAACCCCATCCAGGAGCCTCAATCAAGATCAGAATAACTTTAGATCATKAGGATCCTGCAGGATTTTGAGGTTTTATGTACATTTTCTGCTGGGTTTGGTGAGTTACAAACAATAACCAAATAAATATTTGAAGTCAAAACAATTTGTGGGCCTTGCTTTGCTATTTTTTTAACAATTCTCATTTTAATACCAACAGGGAAGGTTTGTGTCTGCTCAGGTATTCCGGGCTACACCTTCCCTTGCAAAGAGAGATTAAAATGCTCAAACACTCAAGCAATTTGCTTGCTGAATATTTTCATAGGCTTGGTAATAACTGCCTGAATCTTTGCCCTCAGACTCAGCAGGATTAGGAAGCAGGCTGCATGCAAATATCATTAAAACTGGTATTGGGAAGGGCGGGGTGTTGGTTTGAGACCCTCAAACACCAAAAAGAAGAACAGAAAAAGTGGCCTGGCGACAGCAAAATCTTGATTTACACCCCATCCCTCCACTAAGGCTGGCTGGAGGTTAATAACAGATAATTTTTCTCCCATATTTAATTCTCTTCTCCCTGCACACGTCCTGTGAGAGGAACCTGTCASGTGTGAAGTCACTCCCTGAAGCCTCCTGGAATTGGGGCTGGTGGAGAGCTCAGGATCTGCCCTTGAAGGATGACAAACGTGTCCATCTCTGATTAATGACAGCCACATCTCCTGCTCAGAAATTGGAGGAGACAACAGTGTTTGGGCTGGGTTTTACCTTGGTACCTCGGATGTGAGGTGACTCCTAACAGGAAGAACTCCTGCTGGTGACAGCAGCCTCCATTAGTTACAACCATGGAAAATCAATTTAATACCAATAAAAGCATTTTTTTACATTGCAAAGGCTGAAACGGGATTATTTCCTTCTTTCCTTGTGTTTTTTTTTTTTCCTAAGCACTTGAAGAAGAATAATTTGCCAGGAAGTTTTCCTTCCTGGGGTAGAGTTTTCCTTCCCAAAACTTAAGAGGGGTAGAGTTGCCTGAGTCCTATCAACAAAAGGCCTCCTTCACTTCCCTTTCCCCATCATTTTGTCCCAAATCAATAATTTATTGAAGAGAGCTGAGCACCTTCCACGTGCACGTGGAACTCGTGCCTGGCCCTGCCCATGGGGTTGCTGGCCATGCACTGGTACGTCCCCTCGTCCGCCGCCGTCACTTGSTCRATCTTCAGCACCTTCCCRAAATTCTCCGTCTCTGGCTCCTCCTTGGGCATGTTTCCCGTGACCTTCACCCAGCTGAGGTGAGGGGTTGGGCTGCCAACAAAGGGAAAAAAAGAAGATTTTGAGTTGAGTGACACGCTGCTGTAAAGCTGTGACGCTCCCCTGCTGGAGCGCGCACCTGAGGTTTGCCTGGGCAAGTTTTTCGAGGATTTGGAGCTTTTTTGAAACTCTGGGGTTATCTGAGGGTTAATACWCTAAACCCAGCTATTTTCTGCTCCTCCCTGTGAGAGGGATTTTCACACAAGGCCGTGTTCCTTGGATGTGCTTTGGCACGGACAGCGGGACAGGGACCGGAGCTCCTTCCACGCTCTCCCCAACGGCACCCGAGGACAGCGGAGGAGGGACAGCCCCACCGCAGTGTCTGCTCCCTGGAGGTGCCAAAATGCTGTTCCCATCCTCGAAAAGCCCCGGCAGTGACACAGGATTGGGGACAGACGCTGTCTGTGTGTCCCCAGCCGGGCGCGGTGACCCCAACCCCACACCGGACACGCCGGGGCCGCCTCCTCTCCTCGTGTGCCCATCTGCCACCATGGCTCAATGCCTGGGCATGAGGCACAAAGCCCCAGGTACCCACAGTGTGTTGTTCCACCAGCTCTGAGCACAGAAATATCCCGTTATTCCCTCTGAGAGAGCTCATCCTGCTCCCAAACCCAAACCCAGCTCCGGGGTGATGTCCTCTGACACCGCCGCTGCTCACGGTACAAATCTTAAAAAAGGACAGATTGGCAACTGCTTAATTCCCTGTTTTGCAGCTGGCTGCCCCTGATCTGAGTTYCTCGAAATCCTCTTCCACGGTCTGYGGACATTTGGCAGGATGGATTGGCAGGCACGAGGCAAAGCTGATCRTTTTTCTGCTGAAAAGGGGAATTTTAGCGAATAAAAATTGCATTTTGTTCTACAGGWTGCATTTTTGAAGGATTTCGATGGAACTACGGGCTTGGTGATGAGACAAAGAAGTACTTTGTGTTCTTTCAAAAGTGACTACTTTAAAAAACCCTTTTTGTCAAAAAATGAATTTTTAAAAGAGTTTTCTGGAAAAAAATTAGAGTGAAACAAGAAATATTTCTTTCTTTTTTCCTTTTTTCCAAGGGAACAGAAAGACTTTTCTGGTTGTCTCTTCTTGGATGTGTTATCAATTCATATTTGAGTATTTCCAAGGTGATTTGCCTCTTAAATCCCTTGAAAACCCTCTAAAATCAGAGCTGTGGGTTTGGGTGGTTTTTGGGCTGGCAGGTTCACTCAGMGGGGAGGGAATTGGACAAGAAAGTTTTGTAATAACAGGGAAGCAAAACCTGCAGATACCTGGAGAGGATCCAACAGAGAGGAATAACTCACCTCCCTTGGGGAATGGCAGCTCCACCAGCAGCGCCCTTCCAAACCCAAATGGAAAAATAAAAACCCTGAGCGTGTGCAGGCAGGTGCATCTCCTGACTTGGGAACTGGGAGGAATTGGGAGGAATTCGACTGCAGAGCCTTTCACAGGAATGATCTCAGTGTCTGCAGCTCCACAGCAGCACCAGGGGATGGTGATCTGAGCCTCTGCTCTGCACCAAACTCTGTCACAGCCACYCCAGAAGGGACCCTGCTTGCTCTGGGGGGTCAGTGGGGGCACAGCTTTTCTGTTTYTCTGGTGGCAGCTCGATCTCTGCACTGACAGGGACATGGGAAAAACTGGGAGAGGGGAAAACCAAGCAGGGCTGGTGTGTGAGCGAGCCAGAGCAGCAGGAATGGCTGGGAAGGGAATCCCAGCTCCTGGGAAGGGTGCACTCAGTGTTTACTGACCAGCCCTTTGCCTCACTTTACCCTTCTTTTGTCCTTTTTGTGCTATTTACAACAAGGAACAAAATAATCCTGATCTCCCATCACAAACCATCCAATTTAACCCTTCCCTAAGTCACCTTTTACACCAGAAGGGAGTCAGTGAGGTGGAGAGAGATTATCCCAAAGAGCCTGGAGTGACAGGACAAGGGCAATGGCTGCAGCCTGACAGTGGGTTTAGATGGGATATTGGGAAAAACTCYTCCATCATCCCCTGGGAGGGWGGGRAGCCCTGGCACAGGGTGYCCAGGGAAGCTGYGGCTGYCCCTRRATCCCTGSCAGTGCCCMAGGCTGAGGTTTGACCTTTGCTGTTGGGTTTAGCAGGATCAAACCAACACAGCAGATTGTGGATCACTGTGCTCCTGCACAGCCATGGATTTGCTCCTCAATATCCCATATCTTCAATATCCCATTATTTGTGAAGACACCATGGAATGAATTTCCAATTTTTTTGGAAATTTGGGATGCTGGGGAATGGACACAGACAGCAGCCAGGTCCAAATCCTCTCCTGAGCCAGCCCCTCCTGCTGTGACTGAGATTGATGATTTCTCCCTCAATGGCTCAATCATTTCCTAAAGGATGTCTGGTATCACACCACTCGAGAACTTTGCTTCTAAAAACCTGAGATCTTACACCTGGAAAATCTCAAAATAATTTTGAGCATTGAACCAACACTGAATTGGCAAAACCAGAATAAAAATCTTCACAGTTTGTGAACCAAAGCACAGGAGMTGATGCTGATGTTATTTAGCTCCTTAACACCTCGAAAGGAAAACTACTGAAAAAAAATTCAGTTTTTTTCATATGACAGTAAAAAAAAAAAAAACAAACCCATACTTACCCTGCTTTGGTTTTAATTAGTTGTTTACAGTGCAATAACCAGCACAGCAATTTTGCATGTACTCTGTGCTGCTTTACAGCTACAAAAAGCTCTGCACAGGAGTTCACTTTAAAACTTGCATAATTTCTAATATCCCTTTTTCTTTGCTCATCCCTCCCTCCAAAGGTGATTAAGTTTGTGCAGCATTTTCATTACTCACAGCCCTTCAGCAATACACTCGAGGAGCAGGACACCTCCCTTGATGACAGTGACTGATGAGCTACTGCCAGCAGATTCAGGGGGGATCAGCAGTTTGGGTTTCCTCTCCTTGATAAAATTTGCTGAAAGATAAAACAAAATTTCACAGTCAGACGTGAAATCTCAAAGCCTTTGCTTATCCTTCCAGAATGTCACAAACATCACTGCTGCCAGAAGGTTTCTGACATGGGATTTGTGTGTTTTTGTTTTTATTGATATAGTTGGAGACCAATCCAGGAACTCATATTTCTCCTGATAACAGTCAGAAGGGAGATGCAGTGATATCAACAGGCAGCAGTGCTGCTGAAACCCCTTTTCTTACGTTTTTTTGTCCTGTTTTCCAAGCACTGGCTCTTCCATCACCCCTCAGGCAGTCTGGTCCTATCAATTCCTGATTTTCAGGTCCACACCACCTTTCCTCTGCACTGAATTCATCATTTTTTACACCTCAGATAACCCCCATCTTTCCTGTAAGAATCCCACAGAATTGTTCTTCTTGCTCCCATTTAATAATGGAGACACAATTTGTGAGGAAGACTGTTCAAATAATAAACCAAGATTGATCTGAGCTTGATTCCACCAGCCCAATTGCTCCAGCCTGCCAGACGAGGGTTTTGGGATGAAAAATACAGAGTTCAGTGGCTGCTCAGTTATTGCTGTCGTAACAATTAGCACAGTAATTAATCAGTCCTCAAATGGTGTTGGTTCTTCAAAAACTTATGGATGATTTGGTAAAAGACCAGACAGATATCCCTGAAATATTGTCTCATTTTTAATTTTAATTTTCATTTTAATTTCAATTTTAATTTCAATTACAAGAGTCAAGAGCTACAGAGTCTAAATTTCATTTCAATTTGCTCATCCTGGAGCAGTGCAGCCCCAGGGGGACCCTTGGGACAGGAATTCATGGTGACAAATCCCAGCTGCCTCATCCCAGAGTCCTCTTAACCACCAGAAAAAAAGATCTGGAGCATCCAGCCCTGGCTGCTGCTCTGAGCTGGTAACACCAAAACCCCACATCAACCTCTTAACAAAGCAAGAATTCTCCTTTCTCAAGGAAAAAACTCCTTTCTTTACTAAACCCTGCAGATTTCTCTCAAAAAACCTACAAAATTGTTCTCCCTGGACCACTCCGATCCATCCCATTGCAATCAAGAGGCTTTTGTGATGTGTTTTTCACCAGCTCCCGTTTCATCTGAGCTGGTGGGTTCTTAGTTTAAAAACTAAAAACAGATGCATTCAACTCACCCTTAGAAACAGCAGCGTTAGGTGAGCCTGAGTCATTAGCATGCTTTACTGAAATAAATAAAAATGACAACCAAACAAACATGCAGCGTTGAGACAGAATCAAAAGAAACCATAAATCAAAATAAAACCATGCCCCTCCCCACCCCCCTCAATTTCCRCCCCAAAAGAAAGAAAGAATGAAAAATATAAAGGAAAGCAACAGATGGGCATTGAAAATACAATGAAAATGCTTTAAAGGTTTGTGTTATTCTGCAAAATGCTTCATGGGTGATACAATCAGCAATTCATCCCTGCTATCTACGGTAATAAAAATCCCTAACTCCAAAGTATCCACTAAAGAAAAACGCYATAAAATTTATCCATTCTCTCATTTCTCATTGCTTCATTTCTTTTCTATCTATTTATTTTTGATGCAGGCCCTCACCAGGGACTCAGCACWGAGTGGGCAGTGTCAAGCTGAGTTTGCAGAACTCTCTCATTTTCATCTCATGCCTCTCATTTTTCCCTGGACCCAATCCTGTGGCTGTGATGACAAGGTGGACACACTGAAGTGGGTTTTTGGGCCAYTTCCAGGGCTACCAGCAGCCAAAGCCCATCTCATTTTCTCTAATCTCTGTGTGCATGTGTGGGGCACTGAACCCATTAGAAAAGCCACGGAGAGCAACATTTAATTTGGATTATTTCTCACAATTATTATCCCAAGAGACGGTCTCAGCAAGCACTAAGACACACAAAGCCACATTAATCCTTTATCTTTTTATCCCAACGAGAAAACTCTCAAAATCACATATTAAATACGAGGGTTTCACTCATGAAGAAAAAAAAATTCTTCGTGGCTTTCTGGGCTGCACAGAAAGATCAGAAGGTTTAATGAACAGCTGGAATCTTTCATTCTCTCCACATTATCTTGTAAAGGAACTGGGAAACATCTCTCGTGTCACAATTGATGCTCCAAGCTGGAAAAAACTGGAAAAGCTTCGTCCTCCCAACCTCAGTGTTGCAAATGGACCAAATCAGCCTTGCCCAGGGAGGAGGCAGCCAAAAAAATCCTGAAAACCCATTCCTGGGTGACCTGCTGGACTCCAGAGCAGCAGATTTCCCCAGAGCACCCTTGGCTTTCCCCGTGGGGACAGCAGGAGGATGAACAGGGCAGATTTGGGGTCTGACAGCTGCGAGAAGTGAAATTCAGCCTGAAGAACGTGGTGAATAACACAGAAATAAACCCAACAATGTGGGGGAAAAAGTGGCCCCACAAGCCCTGATTCTGAAATTCAGCTAATTATTGTGGATGATTGAGGTTTGGGAAAAGAAAGGGAGTGTTAACAGCTTATATGGAGGAGGAATGCAGCATTCTTAGCTACTGTTGAGAAAAGGAGATTGGAATGTAGAATTGCTAACACAGGTAGCTGGAAATTATAAACATTACTAATACTATAACTTTTGCAAACTCACCAATTATGCTCTGATTACTAATTAAACAACTGTCTTTTGACCAATATATGTTTGACACAAATGTATACTCTGGTTACTAAAGTAGATAAAAGAGGCATATTCCACAATAAAGTTGTTCTTTCTCTCTGTTTTTTTCACCCACTTTTTGTGTGTTTTATATCTATTCCTTTTTGTCGTTGTTTTATCTCTATTATTTATATATTAGTGTTTTATATCTATTATTTCACCCACTTTGTGTGTTTTATATCTATTCTTTTTTGTCACTGTTTGGCCAGCAGCGACACAACAACGCGTTTTTTTCTTGAGGGAGAGTCTCCTCAGAGAGGCAGGGCGCCCATCTGTGTGTTCTGCTGCTTGGGGAGCTCCGAAACCCACGACAAATTGAGAATTGACTTTAAGAGACCGTACTAAAGATCCTTGACTGTCTCACGATCATCGAGACTGAACACACCAAAAAGGAGAACCCCGAGGGGAAGAAAAGGGGGACTCTTTTCTTAAAGGAGTCCAAGCCAGATCGAGGTGGGGCCAGATTTCCAGCTCCTAGGCTGCAAGGTCCAGCGTGTCAACCATGGATGGCTGCGCTGCTTCTGACGGAAAGAGCGCGGTGTTTCCCTGCACCTTGTCTTTCTCCTCCACTCTGKGCTCTGTCAGCCTCTTTATAGCTGCTCTCTGCAAACAGCCCAGGGGCTGGAGGAGATAAGGGCTGGGGGCCAGGGCCCATCCAGAACCAGCGAGAGGCAGTAAAGAGGAGCTGGAACAGAGGGACAGCGCTTGGCCAGAGACTCTGCAAGCGGGGGAAGGGTATTTATTTAGATAATGCTTATATTGGAAATCTTTGAATGATTCATACCCTGTTTTCCTTAGCCCATCAATCTCCATACTGCACAACAATGGATGTAAGCTACGGGTTGTCGCACCATTCCTGAGGAGAACGGTACAGCCCACAGCCCATGCTGCACACCTTAACAATAGACATTCTTTCCCCACTGCTTGGCCGGTTTTCCATACTTTGCAACCCCCTGGCTTGCTGCCACCTGCCTTCAAAAAGACTATAAAAAGTCTCTCTGAGAAGACCCCGATCGGGATTCCCCCGACAGATGCTGGCGAACCCATGGAACCTCAGAGGATTCGTCGGAGCCATTGGTAGCTATAACCCCACCCTCTCTCTCTCTCTCTCTCTTTCTCTTTCTCTCTCTTTCTCTCTCTTTCTCTCTCTCTCACCCTCTTCTATCGCAAAATATCCAAATAAATTATTCTTGAGTATTTAAAGCATACATATTTGCCCCCTCGTTTTCTTTTGAACTCTGAGATTCCGATAACGAACCCTCCCAACTCCCGCTTGAGTTAAATGGATCGTGACCCTGACTCACAGCGGGAAACCTTGAGTGTCATGGGCATCTTCTGCACGATGGTCCTGAGSCGCGGGAAGGCGGCGAAGCAGCAATAGTCGCTCCTGCTGTCGCTCTCCTCCACGTTGGAAAAGTACAGATCGCCCTGGAGGCTCATGGAGACCCTCTCGTCCTGGGGGATGTGCTGCAAATCTGGCAAGGAAAGGGATTGTGAGGTGGGAAAAGCATGGAGTTGAGCGATCCCTTCATGGGCTTCCCTCTCTCATATTAAGCCTAAAATTTAAAAGAATTTTAAAGATTTAAAAGAGTCCAGTGTTCAATATACAACCAAASCCACRTATTTTTATRTAATAATACATACCTCTATATAAYATAGGTGAGAAGTAACTGATATGGAAAAAAATATGTGAAAAAAAAAGTTATTTTGGCTCCCAAGAGCCTGAAATTCCTGCAGAACACAATTAAGGCAGAAAAATGGGACAGAAACCCAAAAGGAACTCATCAGATGTCCCTCGTGGATTATTTTTCCCTTAGCATCATAAATCAAGCATTAATTTATGGAAAGAAGAAAATAATAATGACAGAAATAACATATTGACTCATGATATCCTTTATCCTGTAAATGCAGRGCTCCTCATCACTGGCAGACTCCTTTACCAATACAGGAATTTTTTGATCTCTCATATTCAGTGAGATGTTGTGTCAATGCACTCCAAAACCAGATCTCCAKTCTCCATTTTTCAATTTTATTCTTCAATATCCCGACATTTCTCCCAAGCACCCACACAAACACCACCCCCATCCATGACAAATCTGCTTTGAAACATCTCTGGAAGAGAAATTGTTTGAGCCCCCTTGTCTGAACTGTGCAAAAAACATTCCCTTACCGATGTTCATCCAGTAGATATGCAGAGGGGGGATGCCTTTAGGGGGGTTGCAGTGCAGGATCACCGAATCCCCGTGCTCCACATCCAGGGGCTCRATTTTTTCTTTGGGGAATTTTGGCACACCTGCACAAAAAAGCAAAGAGGTTCCTCTTTTACTGGTACCTTTTGAAATTCTGCCTTTTGATGCCCCCTTGATGCCGTTTTAATAAAATATTTAACTTTCCTTTGCATTCTCTGCCTTTAAGACCTATTTTAATTTACGAAGTGGCACAGAGTGAAGATGTGTTTTACTCAGAGGAGGAAATCCCTGCATTCTGGGACACTCWGAGCAGAAAGGGAAAGCAGCCTGAAAATGGAGCCACTCCTCAAAGGATCTGATCTCGGGCAGGTCCRGGGCTGATGTCACCTCCTGCTCTCATTTCAGGCAAGCTCCAACCAGCCAGAGTTTCACTTTGGGTGGCTGAATTCAGCAGCAAAATGAGCAGCAATTACACAGCAAAGGATGGAGAAGGTCCTGGCAGGGCAAACATCACCCACCTGGTGCCCAAGTGACGGCAGGAGGCTCTGAGAGATGGCACCAAGTGAGACATCAGCGCTCCAGCAGGGAATGTGAGCATTTCAGGGCAGGAGGGAAAGGGAAAGAGAGCGGGAGAAAGGCAGGGACAGCAATCTGAGGACACTTCACAATTCTCAGGATTAGCAAACATGAAAAGAAGCAATCACTGAGCTGCTGATTGCCTGGATGCAGACTGTGCAGAGATTTTATCTCCAGGAGGGTTATTAATAGGGTTGAGAATTCTTAGGAGAGGCAAAACGCAGCTAATGAGCATCGCCCGCCCCGCAGGTGAAATTTCAGGTTAAAAAAAAAAAAAAAAAAAAAAAGAGCTGCATGTTCACATCCAGCACTCTCAGTAACCTGCAGCCTTCAAGGCCTGCAAAATGCAGCTGCTGCTTGCAGAGGTGAAATATTTTCCAGTAGGAAAAAGCCAATTTCTTCTCATCTAAAGCTTATTTATTCCCCAAAACASAAAAGTTTGAGTAAACTGGATCAGGTGAAGGATAAGGGATTTCTGCCYAAAGCAAAGAGAGCAGCAAATGGATTAACACGGGATCACTTACTCAGGACATTGYAACCCCTTGTTCAAACCCATTTTTCACCTCATTTAGCACAACGAAATCTGCGTTTCCGATACCCCAGCTGGGTGCCATAACCACTGGTGAATTTCTGTAGCCAGTAATTACAGAATTATCCAGGAATTTAGCGATTCCCACCAGGGGACAGTGACAAGTCACGCTCTYGGTGTCATCAGCTGGCAGCACAGACATTCATCTCCAGCCTGGGGCCCAGATGTTGGCAGCTGGACTTCGCTGGGGGAAGCAGCAATTTGACCCCAAATGTCCTCCACCTCCAACAAGTACTTGCACCACAGGTGATCAAGGCTTTTGTGTCCTTCCATGAGGATTTGTTTTGCTTTTGTGTCCTTCCATGATGATTTTTTTGCTTAGTTCACTACGAAAAACACTAAAAAACTTTGATTTTCCTCCTCGCAATGGATAAATTTGAGTGGTTTAATCCTTGAAGCTTTGCAAGWGATGAAAACTCCTGATAAATTCCTGAGGCAAACATTCTGACAAGCACATTTTTTTTGCTGGGGTCCCAGTGGTCTCAAAGACTAGAAAAACACCTGCTTCTGACTTCAGCTTTATTCAAAATAAAAAGCTTCTGTCAGATTAAGACTTTGCATTTTGCACATCAATCTTCAGCACATCTAGGCAGGTGATATTTTGGGTTTTGTTTTGTTTTTTGTTTTTGTTTTAGTTTTTTGGGGTTTTGTTTTGTTTT